GCTGCAGACTGGTACTGGAACAAATGGCTCCCATGGGCAATTCTGGCCTGAGAAAAAATGTACATTTTGTCTTTTGAAGCCTGCTCTGCCTAGCATAACCCTGTTGATTACAGCAGCACCAGTGCCTTTGGTTATGTTGCCATAACAAACAAAAAAGGGGGAGATTTGGGGACCTGTGTGGTTTCTGAGACTAGGTAGCACTATAAGAGCAGCCCTGAAAGGGTCTAGTAATTCTCCCTGGAAAACCATGTAAAAACTTAGGTGGCAGACATGACCTGACTCTAACACCAAGGGTTCCTGTGGGATCCAGGCCTGATAAATACATTGTATTCTTTGAAGTTTGCTCTGCTTTGTTTTATATAGCTCTGGTGATATAAACTGAATGTTTAAGTTCAAGGCATAAGGGGTAAACTCCTTGTCTCATGAAATACATCTTAAAGACCCTCTGGCATCAGCATGGCTAACAGACCCTGACCTATGACAGATCTCTGTGTTCCTTCAATTGTTATCTATAGATAATACCTGTTTTTGTATGACTGTAGCCTTTTGACATTGACTGATGATGACTGATGAACTATGCATGTATGCTGTGTACACCTACACATACCATTCCCAATAAAAGTCATTTGGGAGAAGGGCTTGTGACATTCTCCACTAGAGGGAATTGCCATCCCCTTTGCTGATGGAATAGCAAGATTGTCTCCAGGATGACTTATTTACCATCCTCAGTGGACGGAAGGATTCTGCGGGCAAGAGTTCCTCCTACAGCACATGGTTTGGTTTTGTTTTTTTGACCCATCTGCTACTCTGTGCCTTTTTATTGGTGAATTTGGTCTATTTATGTTTAGGGTAATTATTAATGCATCAGGGTTTTCTGTGGTCATGTTTTTATCTTTTGTTTTCTGGTAGATTTGTGCCTTAATTGCTTTTTTCTTTTGTGTTTCTGTTGTTTATGTTTAGTGGTATTTCATACTTTTTTCCTATTTTCTCTTTTTTTTAAGTCATGTTTTCAGTTTTGGATGAGGTTGTCGTTAGCTTAATGCAAAAGAAATTTTCATATATACAGTACCTCTTTTTATTCAAAGTGCATCTTATCTCCATCCCCCTTTAAAATTCAGACTTGTACCTGCTCGTCTTCTATGTTTTTGTTGCTGCGAAGTATCCCTATCTAAATTGTGATATGGGGGAGATCTTAGAATTTTGTAACCTTGTGTTCTTTGTTTCATGTAGAATAACCACCTTGAGTAGTTGCTGCAATGGAGTTCTTCTGGTGTTCTGTTGAAATGGAATTGCTGCAATGGAGTTCCTCAGCTTCTGTATGTCTGGAAAAGTCTTTATTTCTCCTTTATATCTAAAGGATAACTTTGCTAGATATGTTATTCTTGGCTGGTCATTTCTTTTTGTAGTTTGAATATTTGGTTTCACTCTCTTCTAGGTTGTAGAGTTTCTGCTGAGAAGTCTGATGATAACCTACAGGGCTTTTCTTTATAGTTCACTTTCTTCTTTGCCTTGGCTGCCTTGAGAATTTTTTTTTGTCGTCACTTTCTGACAGTTTTAATACAGTGTATCTTGGAAAAGGCCTCTTTGGATTGAGGTAACTAGTTGTTCTATTTCTTTCTTGGACTTCACGATCCAGTGCTTGCCATAGGTTTGGGAAATTCTCATCAACTATTTATTTAAATAGGCTCTTTGTTCCTTTCTCCCACTTTCCTACTTCTGATATGCCTATTATTCTTGTGTTCCTTTTTTTTCTGGTGGAGTCAGATAGTTCTTATAGAGCTCTTTTATTTTTTATTTTTAATTCTCAAGTCTCACTCTTCTTCCCTCTGTGTCATTTTTAGATTTATATCTTTAATGTCACCAATTCTTTCCTCCATCTGGTCAGCTCTATTTCCTATGCTCACTAGTTCATTCTTGATCTATTTTATTGAGTTCTTCATCTTCAGAATTTGCATTTGGCTCTTTTTTAAAGTTTCAATCTCTTTCAAAAAGTACTCAGTTTATTCATTGATTTTGTTTTTGAGCTCATTAAACTGACTCTCTGTTTTCTTGCATCTCACTGAGTTTTTTTAGAACTGAAATCTTAAATTCTCTGTCATTTAAGTAACATATTTCCTGCCTTTAAGTAAAATTTATGGAGATTTTTTTGTTTTCTTTCTGAGCTGCCTTGTTACTTTGGTTATTTGTGTTATTTGATGGATTCCTTCTCTGTCTAGGCATCTATTTATGAGTGGCACTTTTCTAGTGAATTGATAAGAAGTCTTTCTTTTCTTTTCCAGTAGGTGGTGCCAAATCACAAGGTTTTTAGCTCTCTTGCACTTCCCTGGCTTTTCAGATTTCTGTGGGGTGGTGGAAAATGGCCTGTGTTCCCAGGGAAGGTCAGCACTTCTCCTGTAATCTGGTCACTCTGGTCTCAGTGGACCACCTTTGCAGAGGAATGTGGTGGGGATGGGATTCCAAATCTGTGAAATCCCGGTGCTATTCTTTCACAGTGCAATGGAACCAGCAGTGCAGCTGTGGTGCATGGAGGTGGAATGAGCTGGGGGAAGTGGGCTGCCTCCTTTTTTTGCTTTACTCTCCCAGTAATGTTGACCAGCTGACCTGCATGACATTTCTCCTGCACCTCCATCCAACCCTGGGATTAATTACAGAGTTCACGTATTGCTCAGCGAATAAGTGATTCTGTAATATGAGTTATCAGGTTTGCAGGTAATGTGCTCTTCTGCCCAAAAGGAAGGATGAGGGGAGGTGAGTTCTGGGAAGTTAAGGGAAGGCAGCCAAGGTCTGTGGCTTTGTTTCTCTATCTGGAATGCTATTTGCCAGACAACTGTGGCTGCATGTCTAGGCTTCACCACTGCCAAGGTCACTTGGCTCAGCTACAGCTGGTACTGCCTATTCTTGCAGTTGTTCTCAATGAATCTCTTTACTCCTCCTAGATGAAGGAACTGCCAATGGCAACCTGATTCCTTACCTCTTCATGCTGAGCCCTACAGTAATCTCTGAGCTGCATCCATGGATAATCTCAGTTTCTCTCCCATTTATCCACCTTCAGATGTTTAATGCATGGATCCCTTAGACATGTTTGTGCATTGAGCATGGATCCATTGTTGAGTCACAGCTGTTACAATTGTTGAAACTTCAATGGGAGAGATCAAAGGGGTCTCTCACACTGCCATTCCTCTAATGTCACTCTCTTTTTCTAATTTTTAAATTAAAATAGAAAACAAAACAATGAAGCACAAAATTAGAGGGACATAAATTTAATGGATGGTGGTGGTGGAGATAAACTTCTAGTTTTTAGAGGAAATAAATTTCTGGAAATCTTTATCTTATTAGTATTGCAGTTGCTCTCCAAATATCAGGATTGTGTTTTGGGGAAGTTGCACAATTATGTAACAGGAAAATCAAGAAGTAAATAGTAAGGTTAAGCTAAAAATAGTCATTATACAGTCAATGACTGATGTGCATGGTGCAAGTAGAAATAGCAATAGAAAAAAATTAGCAGGTCATAGTTGAATCTGATACTTATAGCTATGATTGTTTTATTCATGAATAGGCATACTATATATCTAAATGGAATAAATATAATGAGGTAATCAAAGCAAAGCTGGAATGATGCAAGAATCCCTGTGTTTGAAGGTTTAGAATTCTTTAATGTCATGAATCATAACCTATTTCAAAGAAAAGTCAAATTCCTTGTTGGATACATAAGCAATATACTCTGTTCTTGGACAAGACAACTATGTGTTATAAATATGTAGATTCTACTCAAAGTAACCCTTAAATGAACATGCAAACAAACTGTTCAAATAAAAATTGTAACCTCTTTATTATAAGATGTAACATGCACCTGAAAATACAGAAGATAAAAATGAATTATCACAATGAATTATAGCAGCTATCACAATGCCACTACCTGAAGAAAGCTATTGTGAACTCTTCCAACTCCTGTAAAAGTAATCACCATTCTGACTTTTACCATAAAACTTTTCTTCTTTACATTTTCTAGTAGATCACAGAGACATGCATCCCTAAATATTAAAATATAGTACAGCAGGTCCTCAAATGGTGTCATTTCATTCAAAGTTTTCATTATAATGTTGATGAGATGCCTATGGTAAAACTGGTTTTATTATATATCATTTTGCTTAAAGTCACAGATCCTCTTGATGACATTAAGTAAGGACTTACTGTACAGTATTATCTGTAGCTTGAACTTTTTATGAACATAATTGCATTATGTGTGTCCTTTTACATTTGACTTCTTTCACTGGCATTGAGAGATTCATCTATGCTGTTGAAAATAGTTCTTCTTCATTGTTTATCATTACTGTATAGTTTACTCCTTAGTATCTTCATTCATTTATTTATTTTACTTTTGATGGTTAATGGGTTGTTTCCAGTGTTTGATTATTGTATTACTTTGTTATGGATGACATAATAAAATATCATGTACTGGGTGTCTTAAACAACAGAACTTACTTTCTCACAATTCTGGAAGCTGAAAGTCCAAAATCAAGGCATCATCAGGGTTGGTTCTTTGTAAAGCTCTTTCCTTGGCTGGTAAATGGCCACATTTTCATTGTGTTATCAGTGGTCGCATACTACTGGTGTGTTTTTGTATGTTCAAACTTCCTCTTCTTAAAAAGCATGCCAGTCAGATTGAATTAGCACCCACCCAAACTGCTGCATTTCAATTTAATTACCTGCTTGAAGGCTCTATCTTTAAACATAGTTAAATTTTGAAGAACTAGTAGTTAGACCTTAAATATATGAATTTTTAGATATGTAATTCAGCTCACAAAAATTATTATGAATAATGATTCTAAAGATTTTCTTTATCATGTCTCGGTTAAAATGTACACACATCGCAATGTCTTTTATAAAATAATGAGCAAAGGTAGTTTACCCCAAAGTTAGGTTTATGGTATAATTGGAGAATAGGAATTTTCCATGGAGTATAGAAGGTAAATGAGTCCTCAAAAAAAAAACTTTAATACTCACTAGTAGTAAGCAGCAGGTAATGAAGAATATGATGAGATCCCACAGTAGAGCAGAGATCCAGTATGCAAAGACAGAGACCCCACTCACAAATTGGATGTGCTTTGCCTTAGAGACTCTCTCAGTCACTGTCAATAGAGAAAAGCCACTGATCAAAAGAGCCATGCCAAAATGAATATTTAAGGCCACCTGGTGTCCATCTGATATTCTGGAGAAGAAGAAACAAAAATAGATATACAAAGATCAACATAGAAGAAAATACATATTTCTAACAATAGCCATTTTTAATCATACAAATGTGATAAGATTGGAATAAAAGCATTTAAAGTATAAAATTCTATTCTAATGAAAAAAACCACAACAACATACGTTTCACTGTGTTCCTTATCAGTAGAATGTGGCTGAGGTTTATTGGAGACTGTTAAGGAAGCATCAGGGCCAGAAATTGACATGAAAAGAATGTTGTCTAACATTGCCAGCATCAGGGATGGTGAATGGTATGCTTGATTGTTGAACATACCAGTAAATATTATTTTATCTCTCTTTACCTCAATGGAAAATGCAACAATGCATAAGAGAATACAATCTTCATTTTCCATCAAATATTTCACTAGATCTCCTAGGATAAGGACACAATATTTGTCAGTTTACCCACATTACAGATCATCTATAATATGATTATTGAAGAACAACTAATTTTCTTTTTTATCCCTTTGAACTTTCTGATAATGATTATTTTAAACATTTGCCATTCTCCTCAAGCACTGTATCATTGAATCCAAGTTCTCTTCATTGCCTGTAACCTAAACTCCTACTTCACAGAGAAAACACAGGTGACAAGGTATAGGCTCTTTAAACTTAGTTATATGTCTTAAATTGATCTATAATTGATCTTTCACTTATAGCTTTTATTACTTATCTTACAGCAGACAAAACCTTCCTGAGAAAATGAAAAAGCTGGATAAAAATTAAAAATCACCCATTTAAAGGTATCATATATCTAGGAAAGCAATCAACATTTGGGGCTCAAGACCTTGGAAGGAATGGAAATGCGCTGAAGTAAGACAAACATTCTATGTTCCTTTTTCCTTTGAGGCATTTTAGATTTATTAATGGTGTTGGCACCTTTAGGTAAATCCTCCAGTTCTCAATAGGGCTCATGAAGGGCTATACCATAGGGGTAAAACTAAGAAATAGACCAATTCTGAGGATACAAGCATAAGCAGAAATGCTTCACTTCCTCACACAACCAAAAAAAGGATAACAACCAATTTAAAAACAAAGAACAACCAGAACTGCCAGAAAATCATCTCCATAGAAGTCCAACAACCCAGGACTTAAAGAAGAAATATTCATCCAGACTGGTAGGAGGGGCAGAGAGGACATGCCATAAAGCAAGACAGCAGACCATGCAGGCAATCCCACATTTGTGTGCAGATAAGCTGGGAGGAAAGATGGGGGAGTGAGACAGACTGGGAAACCAAATGTGGGAAACTAAAGACTCAAAACTCCTGGCTGTAAAAAAATCTGTGCAGGTTGTGGCAGTAGAGGAAATTCCCAGTCTCACACAAGAGTTCATTGGAGAGGCCCAGAAGGTCCTACAATGTACACAAACCCATCCACCTGTGAATCAGCACCTGAAAGGGAAAAATCTGCTTCTGGAAGTGAGGGAAGTGACAGATAGTAGGATGTGAGAAGAGCAAGTGGCATTGTTCCCTCTCTGACCCCTCCCCCACAGCACCACAACTTGGCAAAGAGAGTTGTCTCACCCTGGCAAATACCTAAGGCTCCACCCATTACTACATAGCAGGTGCACCAAGACAGAAATATGGCCCAAGTGAAAGAAGAGATCAAAACTCCAGAAAAAGAGCTAAGCAACAAGGAGAGAGAAAACCTGTAAGATGCAGAGTTCAAAACATTGCTAATCATGATGCTCACAGAATTGCTGGAGCTGGGTTACAAAATGAAGGAAAAAATGGAGGCTACACAAAGTGAAGTAAAGGAAAATACACAGGAAACCAACAGTGAAGGGAATGAAACTGGACTCAAGTGAACAATTTGGAAGAAAAGGAAGAAATAAACATTCAACTGGAACAGAATGAAGAAACAAGAATTCAAAAAAATCAGGAGAGGGTTAGGAACTTCTTGGACAATTTTAAGCACTCCAACATGTGAATCATAGGGGTACCAGAAGAAGAGGAAGAGTGAGAAATTGAAAGCTTATTTGAACAAATAATGAGGGAATATTTCCCCAAGATGGTGAAGGAAATAGACTTCCAGGAAGTCCAGAAAGCCCAGAGAGCCCCAAAGAAATTGGATACAAGGAGGAACATACCAAGACACACCATAATTAAGTTACCCAAGATTAAAGATAAGGAGAGAATCTTAAAAGCAGCAAGAGAAAAGGAGACAGTTATTTACCTACAAAATGCCCATAAGACTATCAGCTGATTTCTCAAAAGAAACATTACAGACAAGAAGGGGCTTGAAAGTAGTATTCAAAGTCATGAAAGTCAAGGACCTACATCCAAGATTACTCTATCCAGCAAAGTTATCATTTAGAATGGGAGGGCAGATAAAGTGCATCCCAGATAAGGTCAAGTTAAAGGACTTCATTGTCACCAAGACTTTATTATATGAAATGTTAAAGGGACTTATCTAAGAAATAGAAGAAGATAAAAAACTATGAACAGTAAAATGACAACAAACTCACAAGTATCAATAACTGAACCTAAAAAGCAAAAATAAAAACTAAGCAAACAACTAGAACAGGAACAGAACCAGAGAGAAATGGAGATCACATGGAAGGTTACCAGTGGGGAGGGGGTGGGGAGAATGGGGGGGAAGGTCCAGGGAATAAAAAGCATAAATGGTAGGCACAAAATCGACAGGGGAAGAATAGTATAGGAAAGGGAGAAGCCAAAGAACTTATATGTACAACCCATAGGCACGAAGTAAGGGGTGGGGAGTGCTGGAGTTGGGTAGGTGCTGGGAGGAGGAGGATAGAGGGGAGAAAAATATTGGGACAACTGTAATAGCATAATCAATAAAATATACTTAAAATTCTATAAAAGAAAAGAAATAGACCACTTCTCATACATATTTCTACCTAGCATCAAAGCACTAAAATTTCCTGATTAAATTTAGATCTTTCTTTGATATTATTGCCCATCAGAAATCAAACCTTTACAGGACAAAAATACGTCATGTGGATTATTTATAATTTCACACACAATATCTGGCATTCAATTAGAAAAATTCTAAATATACTAACAAGTGCGCAAAATACAACCAGAGACATGGAAATAAAGAACAAAATGACAGTGACCAGAGCTGAGGTGGGAAGGGATAATGGGGAGGGGAAGGGGGAAGAGTTTTCAGGAACATCTATAAAGAACACATGGGGAAAACCAAAGTGAGGTAGGATCAAGGATGGGAAATGGGAATGGCTGGAGTGGGGAGGAGTGGTGGGGGGAAAATGGAAGCAACTGTATTTGAACAACAGTAAAAATAACTAACTCTCCATATAGGAAAATATATATGTATAAAACTGCCCTAGCTGGTGTGGCTCAGTGGCTTGAGTGCTGGCCTTCGAACCAAAAGGTCATTATCCAATGACCTTTATCCAATTCCCTTCCAAGGGAATTATCCAATTCCCAGTCAGGGCACATGCCTGTGTTGCAGGCCAGGTCCCCAGTAGGGGGTGCTTAAGAGGCAACTACACATTGATGTTTTCCTCTTTTCTCCCTCTCTTCCCCTCTCTCTAAAAATAAATAAATAAAATGTTTAAAAACAAATAAAACAAAAGTATAACACTTTTAGAAAACTATAAACCTTATGAGAAAAATCTTCATTATCTAGGGCTATGCAGAGCATTATCTAGGGCTATGCTATGTATAGAATATACAATCTATATAAGAAAAATTTAACAGGTTGGACTTCATCAAAATAAAACTTTTGTCCTACAAAACCCATTAAGATGATAAAAAGATAGTCAACAGTATGAGAGAAAATATATAAAGATCTTTCATAAAAGTGAAAGAAAACACCATTTTTAAAAGGAGCAAAAGACATGAACATATATTTCACTAAAAATGATATACAGATGACAAACACATGAAAAAGATATCAAAATTCACATTAGGGAAAAGCAAATTAAAACAGTGATAACAGTATTTGAACAACAATAATAAATAAATAAATAAATAAATAAGTATTAAAAAGAAACAATGAAATATCACTGTATACCTACCAGAATGGCCAAAATAAAGTGGCAACATGAATGATGAGGAAGATGCAGGAGATGGAAGAATGGCTTGGGAACACCATTTCATTCCATAAGGCCTAGATTCATGTGATATGTTACATTCCTACCAGATCTTAAAAAACAAAACAAAAAACCTCATGTGTAATTTTACATACCATGTATTTTGGCACTTTTTTTTTACTTGAAGGAACAAGTGTTGTATATGCAACCTGGAGCCAAAGTGCCTCCACACGTAATTCATATTTTGAGGCTAGTAGCCTTAAAGTGGGTATTTCCTGATTCTGAGTTGTCTGTATAAAACTGGTGACTAGTAGGAAAAGAATGGAGCAGGTAGCCACACATACAGTTAAGATCCTTCTTTACAAGTCACACAACCAAATCATTTAAGAACAATCCTTTTCTTAATGAGCCTTACCTTTCACTTCCTTAATTGTATGGTTGTCAGACTCTAGTATACTCTTAAGATGTTTTAAGAAAATCAGAGTCAAATTAGAATTCCCGGAAATAGATACAGGCACAATGGTTTGACCATATTGGCCCAAATTCATTTGTCTGACCTTCTCATCATCATTACTATGTGAAAACTTATTAGTCTCTGAGAGAAAGGTAAGTGAACCTAGAAGTGCCAGTATCTGCAGCAAAACAAGTTTCCAGTTACGCCAACTGAATATTGCCCTCTTGAGGAACATGGCATGGAACTGCTGGTGGTAGAAGGAATACTGAAGAAAGAAGAGAGAAACAGAACATTACAATATTAATAGACTTAAGTAGATCATTTACATAGAAATTATTAGGATGGACCCTTTGGAATTTTATGGTAGAGATACATAAAGTTTCTAAACACTTGGAATAGAATCCAACCACAGTATCATAATGTACTAGAGCATGCTCAGCCTTTTGTCTGTTTAAAGCGGGGGTCAACACAACCATACCCATTTATTTCTGTATTATCCATGGTTGCTTTTTGCTACAATGACAGAGCTGAGTGATTGCAACAGAGATCATATGGCCCACAAAGCCTTATATATTTATCATCTTCTTACATAAAGTTTTCTGACCTCTGCTATAAAGAACAAGTAAAATATTTAAGTTCTGGCTTTTGATATACTTAAAATCACAACAGGATGACTTTCCTCAGGCTTCTGATAGTCAAGATAACCAGGGTGCTTTATAGGTGCAATAGATCATTAGAAGGAGAATAAAAGAAATGCTGGGCAACTCAAAAGAGATTTCCCACACTGAGATTCATACTGATTAGAGAACAATCCCTTCTGTAATATAAATTCCACATCCTTGCCTAGTGCACTGTTGGTGGAAATGTAGACTGGTGCAGCCACTGTAGAAACAGTATGGAGTTTCCTCACAAAATTAAAATTGGAACTGCCTTTTGACCCAGCAATCCCAGTTTTGGGAATATGTCCTAAGAATCCTGAAACCCCAATTGGAAAGAATATATGCACCCTATGTTCACTGCAGTGTTATTTACAATAGCCAAGATCTGGAAACAGCCCAAGTGCCCATTGGTAGGAGAGTGGATAAAAAAGCTGTGGTACATTTACACAATGGTATACTACACAGCAGAAAAAAGAAGGGATTCCTACCTTTTGCAACAGCATGGATGGAAATGGAGACTATTATGCCAAATGAAATAAGCCAGTTGGTGAAAGACAAATACCATATGATCTCCCTTATAAGAGGAATCTAATGAATAAAATAAACTGACGAACAAAATAGAAACAGAAACATAGGTACATGGAACAGACTGACAGCTGTGAGAGGGGAGTGGAGGGGGGACTACTGGATGAAAAAAGGTGAAGGGATTAGGCAAAGGTTATATATGTGTATAACTCATACACACAGACAACAGTGTGATGATGGCCAGAGGTAAAGGACAGTAGGGGCTGGGTAGAGGTGGACAAAGGTTGGGGAAAGGGAGACATCTGTAATAGTTTCAACAATAGAAATAAAGTTAAAAATATACCAATTCCCACTGTTAAAATTTAAAATATTATGCATACTTAAGTATTAAGAATCATGCTCACTCCAGCTTATTCCAGCTTCAATGAGCTAACAAATTTCTGAGTTATCAATTTGAAAAGAATTCTGAAACAGAAAACAAAAATGACTGAGGAATAACAGTTGAGATATTTGTCTAGAACTCATTACTTCTGCATTAGGAAATCAATTATGTTGTGGTGTAGGCTGCTCCATATCTGGTAATGGCTGAGAATTCTACATTCCTTTCATTTAAGTATTTAAAAATGTACCTCTTGTGCCCCAACCAAATATATATCATGTTTCTTAGTAAAGGTGCTTACCCCAGTATTGAACATAATAGCAGGGCTTTCATTTATATTGAAAGAATCTGCTCTCTCATTTCTGGACATATTCCGATTCTGGTTCTTGACTGAGGCTTCACTCATCAGAGAGACAGGTTGAGGTGGGATAGATAGGGTATCTGTCTGTGAATCTTCCATATTACTGACCCTATATTTAAAAAGTACAAAGTATTTCATTTTGACTTTATCCCAATACATCTTATTTGGAAAATCTGAGTGACAACACCCAATTTAGAAGGCTTCCTGGTTTGCTCACTGACTGGTAGAAGCATTATATAAAAACAACATGATGACTATGGTAGAGCAGTGGTCCCTGGAACACCAGTCACAGGACTGCTGCCAGACCATGGGAGGGAAAGAAAAACAAGAACACAATTTTTCATTAAGTTGAGCTCATTCAAGTTAAAGATTAAGATCTAATTCATACATCAAGTAAGTTAAAATATCCATTCTTTTATAAAATGCTGGTGGTAATTTTTTTCAATGTTCTTATTGTAAAAAAAATTACATTAGGCTCCTCCCCCTACACCTCTTACCTTCTAATGTGTGAACCTGAAAGTTTGGTGAGTTTACAAAGGGGACTCAGACATGACCCCCTTCCTCACTCAGTATTTTTATTTTCCCTATGCATTGTTCTCACCTAAAGAAGACTTCTTCCATCGTAGTGATAGAAGCACCAAAGCTAGCAATGCCCAGCTCTTTCTGTCTCTTTTCCAGATCAGTAAACAGGGCTTCAAAGCTGGAATAAAAATGGGAAAAGGGAACAGAGAGGGAGGAAAAGAAAATGCTAACACCAAATCAGATTTTCTTATTTACATATTTTTTAACATTTTAAAAAATTCTCATACAAGTATGTTTTTATTGACTTCAGAGATTGGCAGAGAGAGAGAAAACCTGCAACCCAGGGCACAGGGATCAGCTCACAACCTTTTAGTGTGTGTGTGTGGCCAGTGGTGGTGCAAGGGTGCAATGCTCCAATGACTGAGCCACCCAGCCGGGGCTTATTTACATATTTTTACTCTAAACTAATTTATTCTTAGCAGTGTGAAAAATGTAAATCACTCTGCACTTCAATGCTCATTATAATTTCATACCTCTGGTGAATAATAAAGGTGGGGAAAATGGTAAAAAAAGAAAGAAACTAGCAATTTATTATAGCAAATTGCTTCCCACTCTACTTAGTACTTGGATATACATAATTTTGGTCTTCATGTAAAATATCAAGAGTCTTTATTTATGCTAATAACTCTAGCAAGTTGACATCAGTTAACTTGTCACACACATGTATGTTATGGTTTCTTAGTCAATTATTCAGTAAATCAACATAGAAAATTATTTTTGAGTTAATAGGAAAGAAAGACAGAAAATGGAGCAGGTGTAGCAGAGATTGACGATGTAGAGAGAACCATATGATTCAACAAGGAAATCTAAAGAAATTGAGCCAGATGAAATGTGGAGACATCAGGGTTTTTAGAGAACAATTTTCTTGGCAAGATTTTACAGTACTTAACATTCAAAGAATTTTCTTTTCCAGAAACTTCCAGGTCTCAAAATCACCTACTATGGTCTCACTGAGAAGCAACCAAAGCTATCTGTACACTCTCACTGTTGGAGAACTCTGAATTTCCTCTTTTGGTAGATTTGTTAAAATTTCCTCCATATTTGAGCTTAAATTGTTTTCCATTTAATTCTATGTAGTTGTGCACATTACTTCTAACCCTAGCCCTTTAGGTTATATAATCAGACGTAAGCTACCTGCATGACAGCTCTTCACATGTTTCCTTTTTACTTTTTTAATTGTTGTTCAAGTACAACTGTCTCCACTTTTCCCCCACCTCTCCCCGCACCCCAGTCATCCCCACTTCTCACCTTTGATCCCATCCCCCTTGGTTTTGTCCATGTGTCTTTTATAGATGTTTCTGAAAACCTTTCCCCCTTTTCCCCCCATTATCCCTTCCCATGTCCCCTCTGGTTACTATCAGTTTGTTCTTAATTTCAGTGTCTCTGGTTATATTTTGCTTGCTTGTTTGTTTTGTTGATTAGGTTCCACTTAAAGGTGAGATCATATGGTATTTGTCCCTCACTTCCTGGCTTGTTTCACTTAGCATAATGCTCTCCAGTTTCATTCATGCTGTCGCAAAGGGTAGGAGCTCCTTTCTTTCTTCACATGTTTTAAGTCCATTTCTTCCTGTGCTTCTTCCTTTCCAATGCATGGCTTTCCAATTAAGATTCACCCATATCATCTCATGCTGCTTTTACATTAATTATGAAATTAATGTGTGTGCATTGTACAAAATTCAGAAAATGAGTGTATAAAAAATGAAAATCATCACATGGATACCACTGTTAATACATGAATATTTTGAAACTTATTCTTATTTCTTTTGGCTTTACACAATATATGACAAAATTAGAATTACATTATGTGTTACTTTAAAGTGGAATAATAAGGCATAAAGTGGAGATAAATATCTATCAACAGCTTAATCAATAAATTATAGTAGGAATTTATGATAGAGTAAGATCTAAGTAAAATGTAAATTTTATTTCAGTTATCTTACAAAGAAACCCTAAAAGTCCTGTCATAGAAAGTTGATTGAAAATGCTGGTAAGTGAAAAAAAGTCAGAACATTAATATAAGATCTCATATCTACAAAACAAATTACTACAATTGTACATATGTCAATGGATGCATGTCATGGTCATGGAAAACACTCAGCAAATTTTCCCAGTAATGATTTCTATGGGGGATGATTATGGGATAACTTGGCTTTCTAATTTATATGCTTCAGGAATAAATAAAATTTTTAATCTTATCATTATATAATCATATAGATTAGCAAACTCTAGGCTGCTTAGTGATAAATTAATTTGTAATAAAACATAATTATAATAGGTAAATTAATAACAATAACACAAATTATTATATGAGCCAATCATATTAAGAAATACATATAACTACTTTTGTAATTATACAAATTTTATTACATATAGTATATAAATATATAATTAAGATAACATTTAACAAACACAAATATTATATGTGCTACCATAACATAATATTATTAAAATAATATATTAAACATATATCAATAAACATATTTATTATGTATTATATATTTTATGTATACATTTATTATATGTTTAATACATATTAATACATATATTATTTATATATTTTATTTATCTATGTATTATGTTTTAATATATATTAATAAATATATCTATCAACACATACTACTAAGATATATAGTATTTTATTATATACAGTATAAAAAATATATAAAGATAGTACTTAACAGATATAAATTTATATATCATATTATTACATAATATTGTACATAATAATATATAACGTAACATGGTACATTAATAAATTTAATATATTATTATGTTATATTACATTATATTGTTATATAAGATATAATATTTTAATGTACAGATTTATATTTTTCAAATACCATGTTAATATTTATATACTGTGTATAATAACATATTTTACACTCTAATAATATATATTAATAAACACATTTATTAATGCATGTTAATATAGCAATATTAATATATAAATACATGTGATATTAATATATCTTAGATATCAATACATAATATACAATAAATTTAATACTATATAATATTGTGTTATATCATAGTATAAGATATCATATAAATATATTATAATATAATATGTCACACATTATATATTATACATTTTACCTATAATATAGAATACATAATAATATTTAATATAACATATAATACATGATGCACAAAATATAAAAAATGCAATATCATGTATAACATATGATATAATTATATTATAATATAATATGCCCATATATAATCATACAATCATATAATTATTAATATGCAATATAATATAATAATATATAGTATATTCTAATAATATAACCACCAGTAATATAATCATAGAATCATAGAATCATAGAATCATAGAATCAAATTAAATACAATATAATATAATTATATAATCATTATATAATTATGATATAAAATGCAATACAACACATACAACATATAAAATATATAATATGATATATAGAATGTAGAAAATATATAATATATAATGCCACATATAATATATGATATGTTACATAATATACAACATACATAACATGCTATATAATACACTGTATTTACTGTTATAAATTATGTAATATGCAATATATAATAGTATATGATATTGATATTTAGGGAATATAAAAATATAAAATGAAAAATTCAATAATATATAAAATACGTACAATATATAACATATTATATAATATACAATGTATAACATATAACATATAATATTATACTATATTATATATAGTGTTTGGATTATGGAGAATGCAAAAATTATAAAAAGAAAAAATTTGATAAACTTGAGTATAAGTATTTTTCTAATCATGTTTTATTATACATTATATACAGTATATCATAGATATAATGTATGATATATAATATTATTTAATAAATATAAATATGTAGAATATATATGTATGTATTATTCTTTGAGGAAAATACAATTTCAAAAAGCAAAGAAGAAATGTGACCACACAGAGACTACCCCTGTTAACATTTGATGTGATTCCTATCCATTACATTTATTAATTTTTGAATTCCATAACCAAAGATTACTTTGAACTTTTCTTGAACTTCATGTTAATGGAATCCTATAGTCTGTGTTGTTTTGCTAAATACAATGTCTGTGAAATTCATTTATGCTTTATATACCACTAGTTCATTCCTTCCTATTGCTGAGTAATATTCATTCATTTTAATATTCATTCTTTTTCCTGCTGATGAATATTTTAGCTCTTTTTGGTTTGGAGCTGTTATGAATAAAGTGTTTACAAACATAAACATTCTTTTATATGTCTTTTGGTAAACTTGTGTTCTTTAGGTATACACTATTGCTGGGTCACATGATAAGTACATATTTAGCTTAATAGAAATGGTCAAACATTTTCCAAACCTTTTTTACCATTTTGTATTTCTCTTATCAGTGAGATTCAATTGTCATGTTTATGTCTTTTCAATTTTAGCCATTCTCATGAGTGTGCAGTGGTAATCTATTGGTCTTTTTTTATTTTTTGAAATTTGCTTAGAGTTCTGAAAATAATTCTTGACATAGTCTTTCTTTTCATTACTTCTCTTTTCTTCCAAAATTATTGGTCAAACTTTTATTAGTCATTAGGAATTTTATTTCATTTTATGTTGCTCTCCTTCATCACAGAGCCTTCTTTAATAGACTTACAGTGTCCTTTTAATTGCATTCAGACTAGAAAGCAGAGAGTCTACAAAATTTTCTATTCTTGCAGTACATTAATTTTCACAGTAGGCATTTCCTATAAGCCTTTTATTTCAAAATTCTATATCCTTCCTATAGTTTAATAGTATTTTCTTTCATCCTTATGAAAGGAGATTGATATTTATTCAGGATAATTTATAATCACACAGAACTTCTGGAGGAAATTCTGTCCAAAACTAAGGTGAGATGCTACCTGATTCAGTGATTTCACTTCTAAATTTTCATTCTAGTTTTCTTTCTTTTTATTTATTTTTTATTTTCTCAAGAATCAACCTTGAGATCATTGGTATCAATTTGTGAAGTTTAACATTAGATTAGATTAGCACATCTTCAGTTTTCTAACATCATGGTGTAGATGGAAGAACATAGACTTTGGAGATGAATGGGCTTGCATTTGAATCTAGCCTGCTTCCCCATTACTATGATTTAATCTAACCTTAAAAGTCATTATTTCATTTGTAAAAAGGTAAAATAAGTACTTTTAATTTCTCCTGTTATTGTTGCAATGTTATTTCGCTTAACATTTATTCATCTATAGTCACTGTGCAGTGATTTGAGGGTCTCATAAGCATGTTGTCCTAGCTTGGAGACTTGAATTTATTTGATCTGTGAGAGGCATCTGAAAGTCTCTCCCTTCTTATTTATTCTTGCATTTGAATTAAAAGATCATTCTCTTTGATTAAAAAGACAGAATCAAAGAAGTTGAAGTATTTTGCTTCCTTGATAACAAATACTGAAGCTTCTTGTCTTTCATATTTTTAGTGAAGAAATTTTATACTTTTTCTTATTGCCAGATCCCAACTCCAAAATCTGATGCCTTTAAGACAAGTTGAGGCTATAGTAGGTGAAGGTATCAGGTCACTTCAAAAGAGGCCCTACCAAAGCAAACTTACATCTGGATTTTATCTGAATCTATCACGGATTTAATTTCCCTTCCATTTTTTTCCTGGATAACCTGCTTAACTTTATCTCACATACTAGCTCTCCTCCTTTTGCTCTACCAAAGAGATTCTTGGAATCCTCATACATTTTTCCAGTTTTTCTACTCTGGAGTCAACTTTGGTCATGATACCCCAAACTCTAAGAAAATGCACAATGCATTTTAAACTTCCTGATAATATTCTTTACCAACGTCTTTTATATCATTGCTCATTGAATACTAGGTATTATTCCACTTTGTTAATCTTTGGTATCTGTAGTCAGAATTGCATTTTTGAATCTTCCAAATAATCTTAAATGACTTTTTCTCTCAAGAGGTTTTGCTAGCTAGTCTTGGTTGTTTATATATCTTCCAATTTTGGCCTGTGTTTAAATATACCAAATCCTTCCTTTTCTCTAGGTATGAACTTCACCATGATGTGGCAAATTTCCCCCAAGTTCTCTGACATTTTCCCCTCTGAGGCCAAGCATGTTCTTGATTATCAAAATTAGATTTAGAGTAGCAATTTGTTTCTTATTTCCTCCATCTTAGGATGTGTTAAAGTTGTAAAGAAAAGTCAGGGACCTGTATGAGACCTGCTTTGAGGTAAATAAAACAAGTTACAAGTCTAAGAGAACTACTCACTTTACTATGTTATCTTGTTTAACCCTTGTATCAAAAATATACTACTCATTTCCTCCTTTTAACTTCCAGTTTCACAGAATGTTTTTAACATGTTTATTTATCTTCCTATTGTCATCCACTGTTTTTTTCTGCACATTTACAAACTCTAATTCATTAACTTTAAGGATCTAAATATTCCTCAAAATGTAGCACTATTCTGATACTTCACTTATATTTCTATTCCTTTGGAATGCTGCATATCATTCCATTGCCATATTCTAAAGTTAACTTTCATTCTAACTTAAGTAAGTTTCAGCAAAGTTTTACAGCAAGTTACAGCATGGTTTTAAAGTGTCAAAATCACCTCCCTTGTAAGATACATTCAATAAATTAGAATATAGGTATATGCAATTAAGATTATTTCTTTTTCTCTTCTTTATTATTTATTCAGGTAAATAAATGCATGTTAGGTCAATGTCTTGCAAAAGGCAAGAGTTCAATTACCATCAGCTATCACAATTTTAGCTGGATTGAAAAATCACTAAGAATTAAGCAATTGTTTCATTCTTTTTGTATTATACTCTGAGATAACTCAATCCATAGGTATTTCTTTTTCTTATAATTTTCTCTTCATTAGTTTAAAACTTTCCCTCTTAGAGAAAAGACATTCTTCCCTAATTTCATGTTTCATTTTATTTCTAGTGAGTCTATCATTCCAAATCTGGATTTTTGGAACAACAATCTACAATTAGTTGTTCACCTCTAAGATCATCTTCCTTTTTCTTTTCTTTCTTTTTTTTTTTTTTTGTCCTCCAAGTCCAAATGATTGGTAAGGAGATATGATTAACATCATCTTCCAAATGTGAAGATCTGATGGAATGTGAAGATACGATAAATTAAAAAGTATGTTATAAAACATCACCTGCTTCTGAATTTCCTTTTTTACTTTTGAGAATGTCATTTGTATTCATATGGATGAGGACAAGAGGGTAGTGTGGAAAGTTTAGGCAAGTGCTTTACTTGTGTCTCCAGAGAGATTCAGCAGCTTCACATGGACCACAGCTATCAAAATGGGCCAAAGCTCCCACCTGATTCATACTTCTTTAAGGATACATGTCTAGAATTTTATTCCTAATTCTCAATGATACTTTATACCTTTGTTCCTGCTCATGATGAGGGTCTTGCTTCTGCTCTGCTGCCTGACCATATGGTTCTAAGCTGCTGCTTCTCAATAACTTCCAGACTGCTAAATAAAAAGTTCAAATAATGCAATTCCTTTTCTGTTTTTATCTTTTTGATACATTCCTCTTTTTATTAGAAAAGGAGACATTAAAATTTTTTCATATTCTTCTTAATTATGACAACTTGTTTAACTCTAAGGAATATCAAAGCAAGTATTTACTTGCATATGACAAGAAGATAAAAATACCATGCTCTGAAAGTCACTGATGAGTACTCTTCGTTTCCATATGAAAGCTAAAGTTAGTTTTTTTTGTGACTTCCTTCTGATGAATAACTTGGCCAACTATAGTGCAGTAAAATTGTTTATTTCCTCCGAGTTTTTGTCACCTTGGTTTCAAGAGCCAGCACTACAGGCATATTTTTCATTTTCTTAATATTTCTATTCACTCTACTCAACACACAATTTTTATTCTACCTACAACATACCATTCATTATCACCAATTAAAACCAGGACACTATAACGGTGAGGTGTCATACCTCTCTTCAGTCCAAGAGGCAGCTAGGACTGGAGTTTGTTTTTTTTAATGAACTCTACTTGCTAAGCCTGAAGAAACCAGAAAAAGCAACAATTTCCTGTTATCCAAACATCAACTTTTATTACTCTCTTAATCCATACCTGTGTGCATACTCTTTGGGTAGAATAAAAGATAATTCATTTCTAACATTCTTCTCCAAGTTTGCTGATGGTGTATGATAATGTATCAACTTTGAGATTTCTTCAACATTACAGTGAGGCTCCTTCACCATGACTATGTGGTATCCCACACCTGAGAAAATCCATTTAGAAAAACAAAACAATTTTATATTTCTCTATTCTTATGAGACTCCACTTGGCTTTTCATGATTTGGGTAAGCAAGAAGATAGAACATTCCACAATTCATTTGATTACAGGTGTAAAATGCCTAATAAATACTTCTTTTGTAATTTCATTAATTTTTTTAGAGACCGATAGAAGATAGAGAGGAAAATCTGTTATCTGACCCTCTTGTCCTATATACCCTGAAATCTGAGAGAATAAGATTTATATTCATTAAACACACATTTATTGGGTGCTTATTATACTCAAAGCAGTAAATAAGTCAGCTAAAGATCTTGTCCTCCAGAGATCTGAGAAATCTTTCCAGAGAGAGTACTCTGCACCTTCACTAGGTTCAGTCCACTAGCCTTCCAGAAGCTGGATGTGTAGGAGGTAGTGAAAAATCCCTCCACAGCACTCCAGGACTTGTAGAAAACAATACCTGGCATTCTGATAGCTCAGGGCATGAGAAAAAAATTGAGAAAAATAGCTCTGGGGTACTTCATTAATCCTTCTCTGCAGTGGCCCTTCAAAAGTTTGGGAGAGGGAAGTAAAAAGTGCAGGAATGGGCAACAAAGAGAGTATGTGAGATAAAAAAAATTTGGAAACTAGACTGTAGCTTAAAGACATTTCTATAATCTCATTCATGCACAGATCCCAACCTCTGCTAAGAGCAAAATCTTGATTTCATTTTTTTAAAGAAGATTTTGTTTATTTATTTTTAAAGAGAGAGGAAGGGAGGGAGAGAGGGAGAGAAACATCAATGTGCTAGAAAAACATCTATTGACCTTTTAGTTTGTGGTATGACAACATATAAACTGTGGTATGACCAAACCCACTGAGCCACACCAGTCAGAGCAAACCCATTCTTAAAACGTTTGAAGAAAGTGATGAATAGAATCTAAATAAAGCTCTAACACACACCAATATTTTCTCAAATATAGATCATGCTGATTTAGTTATCTACTATAATAGTGGCCCAACATACCAGAGCATATTTTTTCTGAGAATAAATATCAAATATTTTATTCTCTGTTATTTTATTTATAAAGTCAGTAAAAAAATTACAAGGCATGCAAAGAATAAAAAAATATAACCTTAAATAGAATGAAAAAATTAATAGAAGTAGAATAGAGATTTTTAAAACAAAGAAACAATATATCTCCACAATCTAACTCTATGAAATGGAGGCATATGACTTACCTAATAGAGAATTCAAAATAACCATCATAAAGATGCTCACCAAAGTTAGGATAACAATGCAAGTGATATTGAGAATTTCAACAACAAAAAATAAACTTTAGTATTGAAAAATCATAGCGCTAAAAGAGTACAATTTATTGAATTAAAAAATTCACTAGATGAAATAAGCCAGGTGGTGAGGGACAAATACCATATGATTTCACATTTAACTGGAACCTAATCAACAAAACAAAAAAGCAAGCAAAATATAACCAGAGACATTGAAATTAAGAACAGTCTGACAGTAACCAGAGGGGAGGTGGGAGGGGATAATGGGGGGGGAAGCAGGAAGGGCTTTCGGGAGTAACTATAAAGGACACATGGACAAAAACAAGGTGGGAGGGGGTGGAAGCAAGGGTGGGAAGTGGGGATGGCTTCGGGGGGAGCGGTGGGGGGTAAATGCAGACAACTGTAATTGAACAATAGTAAAATAATTAAAATAAATAAATTAGTTAAAAAATTCACTAGAGGAGTTCAAAGCTGACTAGGTAAAGCAAATGAATGAATGAGTGACTGCTATGTCAAGTCATGGGAAATTATTCATTCAGAGGAGCAGAAAGAAAAAATAAAGAAGAGTAAATAAGGCCTATAAGCCTGATAAGATACCATCAAGTAGAGCAATATACACATTGTAGTAGTTCCATAAGGAAGAGAGATGGGAAGAGAGAGAGGGAGGGTGGAGGAAGGGAGGGAGGGAGGGAGGGAGGGAGAGAGAGAGAGAGGGAGAGAGAGAGAGAGTTTATTCAAAGAAATAATGGCTAAAAACATCCCAACCTAGGAATGAACATTCAGATTCAGGAAGTCTAGAAGATTTATTCAAGATGAATTCAAAGGAATTCACAATGAGGCCAATTACAATCAAACAGTCAAAAGTCAAAGAAAAAGTAAGAATTTTAAAAGTCTCAAGAGAAAAGCAAGTTGTCACACACAAAGATATTCTCTTAGGTTATACAATGTCTAATCACTAGGGTGTAACACCTTGAAACCAATATAATATTATATGTCATTATAATTGAAAAATAAGAAATGATTTAAAGTTGTAAAAGGAAATCTCATGAACAATGATATACGGATTGCCTGAGTGGTAGAGCTGGGTGGAGGTAGGCAAAGGGGGAAGAGTGAGGACAACTGTAATCGCATAAACAATAATATGCAATAAAAAGAACAATAAAAAAGGAAGCCATTAGACTGTCAGCAGATTCTTCAGCAGAACCTTTGAAAGTTAGGTGATATATTCAAAATGCTTAAATAAAACACGTCCAATCAATAATACTGTACCTGGAAAAACTGCCCTTCTAGAATAAAGATACAGACTTTTCTAAAACATGAAAGTTGACAGAGTTCATTGCCACTAGACCTGCCTCATAAGAAATGGTAATGGGATTTTCTTTCTTCAGGTTGAAAAGAATGCATGCTAGACAGTAATATGAAAGCATGTGAGAGTATAAAACTCACAGGTAATGGTGAAAGTATAGACAAAATGTTGTAATGTTGGTGGGTGAATTACTTTTAATTCTACTGTAATAGTGAAGAGGCAAAAGTATTAAAAATGACTATAACTAAATGTTATATTATTACTAAAAGTTATAGCTAAAATGACTTACACAATACAAATAAATATATAAGTTGTAACATTAATGACTAAAATATGGAGAGGAGGTACAGACAGTAGTTTTTATAGGCAATGAAGCTTAAATTGTTATCAGCTTATAAGAGACTGTTATAACTATAAGATATTTTATGTAAGCTCCAAGGTAACCACAAAGAAAATATCTATAGAAGTTATATAAAAAAGAAATCAAAGCACATCAATACTAAAAATAATATAGAGGAAATGAAGACAGAAAGAGAAATATGAGAAAAACAATAACTAGTAGACAGACAAAAATTAACAAAAGACATAATAATAGTAAATTCTTCCCTATCAAAAATTATTTTACTCATAAATGTACACAAATTTAACTCTCCATACAAAATACATTTAGTGCCTGAATGGATAAAAAGCAAGATCCAACTATATACTCTATAAGAAACTCACTTTAGATTTAAAGACATACACAGGCTGAATACAAAGGGGTGCAAAAAATATTCTATGAAAATATAACCAAAAAAGAACAGGGGTAACTATACTTACTTTGGGTAAAATAGACATAAAGAAAAAGATATATATAGTCATAAGAGAAAAACAAAACACTGATAATGACAAAATGATCAATTCAAAATAAAGAGATAAGAATCCTAAAAAGATATATACCCAACATCAGAAGCCTAAATATATAAAGCAAACATTGGTAGAACTGAAGTATGAAATCGCCAGAAATACAATAATTGTAGGAAAGTTCAAAATACTACTTGCAATAATGGACTGATTAACTGGACAGGGAATCAACAAAGAAACAGTGGACTTGAACAACACTATACACCAAATGAACCTAATAAAAATATACAGATTATTCCAACAAACAGATACATAATATATATATTTTTTCTCAAGTGTGCATAGAACATTCCCCAGGATTGATCACATGTTATATCACAAAAATTTTTTAACAAAGTTAAGAAGGTTGAAATTATACCAGGTATCTTTTCTGACCATAATGAAATAAACTAGAAACCAATAGTAGAAGAAAAATAGAAAGATTCAAAATTAAACAACACATTTTGAAGAACCAGTGGGTCAAAAAAGATATCAAATTAGAAAATATCTTGAGCCAGGTTTAAATAAAAACACAACATAACAAAATTATGGGATGCTGCAAAAGCAATAGTAAAAGAAAAGTTTTTGATGATAAATACCTACATTAAAAATGAAGAGAGCCCTCTAATGAAAAACCTAAGTTTACACCTTGAAGTACTTGAAAAGGAACAAACTAATAGTAAAGTATCAGAGGAAGGAAGGAAGTGGTAAAGAATGTAACAGAAATAAATGAAATAATATAAAGACAATAGAAAAAATTACAAAACTAAGAATTGGTTGTTTAGAAACATAAACAAACATTTAGCTAGACTAACTAAGCAAAATGATAAAATATAAGTCAGAAATGATGAGACATTACAAATAATGTCATAGAAGTAAGAAGGACCACCAGAGAGCACAATGAACAAGTAAATGCCAAGAAATTGAGTGATCTAAAAAAACAGGTAAATTCCTAGAAACATACAATTTACCAAGATTAAACTATGAAGCATTAAAGTCTAAACATATCTACCACTAGTAAGGTGAATAAATCAATAATCAAAAATCTCCCAATAAAGAAAATCCTAGGAAAAGGTAACTTCCATGAGGAATTTTACCAAACCTTTAGAAGAAAGTTAATGACAATTCTTCATAATTCAAAAAAAGTTTGAAAAGTATAGTATACATTTGTACTCATTTTATGAGGCCAAACTTACCCTGATATCAAAACCATAAAAAGACAGAAGAAAAGAAAACTAAAGGCCAACAATCCATACACATAGATGTAAACATGTTAAACAAAATACTACCAAACTGAATTCAACAACATATTAAAAGAAAAATACCATGATCCAGCACGATTTATTCCTGATATACAAACATGGTTCAGCATGTACAAATCAGCAAAAGAAACACATGTATAATATAAAAGAAAAAATTACATGATCATTTCAATAGATGCAGAAAAAACACTTGACAAAATTTAATACACTTTCATGATAAAAACTCTCAACAAATATGGTATTGAAGCAAATAACTGAACATGATAAAT